GATAGATTACTGAAACCTGTTATAGGGTCAACATATCCTGGGATTCTTCTTCTGTCATTTAAACAAGTTGTGCTAAGGGGCTAAAGATAGAGTAATTTCATAGCATTTGTCTTTAAGGGATAGCATGGCTCAGGAGGAGTTGCTAATGTGGCCAATTTCAGTGTATCTTGGGCACTCTCCATTCTTTCAGAATGTTTTTTTAGGTTTATTTGCAAGCCACGGGGCCCTGATGCTAGAAGACATACTCTGTCTGGTCGACCTTGGGCTGCAAAAACATTTGTATCCCAGCCAGGCAGGTGACAACCCATGATGGAGGTTTCTTTTTATTATGTGAACGAGATCAATGGTTTAGGTCCATGTGGGCCTGATTTTCAAAACTGCACATGTGCAAATATGTGCCTAATTTGTACTTCCAAAATGCCATGATTCTATATGTAAATTGCGTGGCAAAATACCCAGTTTCCATATGCGGTTGTGGTAATTGCATACCACTTTAGGCATGCAACTTCATGTATGCAGTTCTGAAAAACCCACCTTAATATTTATATTACTGCCAATTAAACCAGTCAAATATACACTGAAGGCAAATTAGTAGAACATCAACCTTTAGTAACAGGAATCACTAAAGGGTCTTCATAATCCATTCCCTTCTCTCCTCAACCTAGGTGTAAGGTAGTAGATATGAATAAGGTCTTTTCCAAAGTTAAGGAGGCAATGGCTCCATCTTCCTTAAAACTAGCTATATTTCTTCATAACATCTCTACGAGATTTTCTGATCAAAAAAGTTTAGGTATTTTTATTAGGAGATATACTTTTTGTCTTAATAGACACATGCTAATTTCCTTCTTCGTTTTATCCATCTTTCATTTTGAACCTTGTCTTTTTGTTGTTCTTTGTTTACAGGATTAAGGAAGTCAGCCTGCTTTCCTACATTAACCACTACGTTCACATTTATTCCTGTATTTTGTGAAACATCATTTGCATATGTCTACATACATTATTGCTATTAGGGTCAAATGGATCCTCTTCCAGACAGGTATCAATGCCTTCTTATTTGTAGTGAGAAGTCCTTGATGCAGCAAAGCTGCCTCTTTTGGATGTTCATTTAATAGAGAAAATCCTTAAGATGGCTAATTGATCTTGCATTTCTGCTTTTTATGTACTTTCTATGACTTAAGCTATTTCCATAATCATTAAAGCAGCTTTTAAGTTGTCACTGGATACAGAACTTCCATATCTTGACTTAAAATAGTGTGTGTGCTTTACACACAGTCAATCTTGTTTGGAAAAATAGGGGATTTATTGGTTCTGTTTTGAAATTAAAGACAAGAAAGATAATGTATACAAACCCAAATATGTGCCTTTATATGTAATGTGACAAAGTTCCTCCTCTATCTTGGTGGGTCCTGTGCTTATTGATGGATTTTCTTGCCTCAGAGATTCACCATGTGGGTTGGGGAACAGCCCAGAGACCTTCCCCTCTGGAAGAACCCACAATCCAGGTCAATTGGGAGGTTTGGGGGGAACCCGGGCCCACCCTCTACTCCGGGTTCCAGCCCAGGGCCCTGTGGACTGCAGCTGTCTATTACTTATTCTCACCACAGGCCTTTCCTCCTGGTGTCTGATAACTCTTGTGCTCCTCAGTCCTCCAGCAGCACACCCTCTCACTCTCAGCTCCTTGCACCTCTTGCTCCCAGCTCCTCACACTTGCACCACAAACTGAAGTGAGCTCCTTTTAAAACCCAGGTGCCCTGATTAGCCTGCCTTAATTGATTCTAGCAGCTTCTTCTTCTTAATTGGCTCCAGGTGTCCTAATTAGCCTGCCTGCCTGCCTGCATGAACTGGTTCTAGCAGGTTCCTGATTACTCTAGTGCAGCCCCTGCTCTGGTCACTCAGGGAACAGAAAACTACTCATCCAGTGACCAGTATATTTGCCCTCTACCAGACTCCTGTACCCCACTGGTCTGGGTCTGTCACATATCCCTCCCCCCTGCTCAACGCCAAGGGGTTGGGCAGCTTGGGATGCCAGACAGTGCACACGTGACAAGCCATCGGCGTTGCCATGACGGCTCCCTGCTCTGTGTTGCACACGGAACTGGAAAGGTTGGAGGGATAAGAACCATCTGGTCACCCTTGTGTTCTTCTCCTTGTTCTGCTGCATCCATTGAAGAGGGGCATGGTCGGTCACGAGGACAAATCTGCGCCAAGCAGGTAGTAGCGCAATGTTTCCATGGCCCATTTTACAGCGAGGCATTCTCTCTCCACCACTGCATATTTTTGTTCCCTGGGAAGGAGTTTCCGACTGAGGTATAGAATTGGATGTTCCTCCTCACCGACCATCTGTGATGGAACGGCCCCCAACCCTACTTCCAATGCATCCATCTGCAGGATAAACTTATTGTTGTCTAGCTCCTGCCATATGGGAGATGGATGATTTTTATGCTTAATATTCTAGATGGAGTATTTTCCAGTCACTTTATGTTCTAGAGTTATGTAGTCAGTAAGTTTGTACTTGTATACCTCTACTCCAATATAACGCGGCCCGACATAACATGAATTTGCATATAACATGGTAAAGCAGCTCTCCGGGGGGGGCGGTGCTGCGCACTCCGGCGGATCAAAGTAAGTTTGATATAACACGGTTTCACCTATTACGCAGTAAGATTTTTTGGCTTCCGAGGACAGCGTTATATCGGGGTAGAGGTGTATTAGAAGGCTGGAGTGAGTTTCCACATTATACACTTTTATCAGGTGGGCACATGATGATAACTATGGGCCACAGGACTATGATGGAGGAATTATAATGTACTGCTTGTGGGGTTTTATATTGTTGAGGGTTTTTTGTTGCTTTGCTGAGCAATTAAAGGAAGAGGGAAAACACAGGATATAAAACTTCGAGGAAATCTCTGATTTTCCTGCAAATTTAAGAAAAATCAAACTTGGTTTTGGCAAGATTCTGAGAAGAATCGGTAAGTGGCATAACATCCCATGAACCATTCTGAAACATTCTTCCAAACAGTCCTTATTTCTGAAGAAAATATCAGACAAACACCTGTAATTTCAAGGTTTAAACCTGTTTTTAACAATATGAGTAAAAAGAAGATTTTCAGGTGAAAGCTTCTTTTGACTTAGGAGGATGTTTGTTATTCTCTTCAACTTTTCCTGGACTATTTTTCATTGTTCAACTACTTTATAAATTACATTGGTAGCAAATGAGAGTGAACTTTATCTTTACAGTTGATTTATAAATAGCAAGTGAACATTTAAGCAGTTTCCTTTAAGAGATGTAAGATACAGGAAGCAATTTGCTCTGTATTGTCTTTCAGCAAAGTGCTGGTAAGATTAATGTGCACTTACTGTTTTTAAAATCATGTTGTACCATTAAAGAACATAATATATAAAACATCTGAGAATGGCAAACCAATTCACAATAAGAAAATACAATGCCTTTAAAGATGATAGTTACAAAAATTTCTTCTATTGTCAATTTCTGTCCATTTTCATTAAAATTGCTGTTTTCAGATAAGTAAGTAGTATGTATAGAACAATGAAGGCAACAAGGACTACCGACATCTCTCTTTTGTTGAAGAGGAATAGTTTCGCTGTTGCTAGAAACTTAGTTTTTAATACTTCAATCTTTACCTTAAATCACAGTGCATAATAGCTAATAGAATAGTGATCAAAATGATCAAAGAATGTACAGGCAATAACATTTTTTATATTCCATTGTTTTTAAATAATCAATGGGCAACAGAATATTTTTCCACAAGTGATATTCCCAATCAGCTAAATTCATAGTATATTTCCAGTCCCTTGAATTACCGAGAGCTAAAGTAAGTAGATGCTCTCTTGTCCTAAGTGACATTTTCAGGATTCAAAAAGTTTGGACAGTAGTTTGCAGTGTAGGGTAGGGGTTGGTTTGTTTGGGAGGCTGGGGAGAGGAGGATATTTTTAGGAGTGTAATGGAGAATCACTTGTTTCTTAAACAAGTTCAGATTGTTTCCACTTCGCTATGTGTGAGGGAGACCAGGATTCTGTGGTGTTCTGGTTGTACACACGGATCATTATTTTTAGAACAGCAGCAGTTCTTAGCCTGTTCTTCGTCTAATCCAATTTCTGTTCTTTTAGAGGGAGCAGCATATGACAGCAGTGAAGTTTGTGCACTGTATATGTGCAGCTTACAAGCATTTTGTTGTGTGTGTTGAAGGATGTGATGGTGCTCAGTGATCAGAACTCAGTGATTATTAAACAACTCCAAACATCCCCTGCGCTTTTTCTGCTGTTACTCTCTTCTGACTTATGTTTCAGGGATGGCTTTGACTTTTGAGTGGCTTTTACATCTTGTAACAGCTTTTATTTTATTTTATATATGTTTTAATGTAATTTCCAGTACCCCAAAGCTCAGGGTGCAATGGGAAGAAGTCAAGGAGATTTTGTGTACCCCCAGGGTCAGGGTGCCATGAGCAGTGGATGTGTGTGGGATTTTGACCTCACCCCAAAGGTCAAAGTGCCATGGAGTATTTGTGTGTGTGTATCTGTCTGTCCAAGGCACACTTGCAGAGGGTAAGAAGCCAGTAGACAGTGGGTGGGTGTGGAATTCTGGCACACTCCAGTGGCCATGGACAGTGGGTGGGGTGGGAATCCTGGCACATATAAGGGGCAGGAAAGGGTCTGTGCTGAGGGTCACCAGCCAAGCTGTGCCTATTCAGTGACGGCAGTGGGAAGGTTTTCCTGGGATGTCATCCCGCTGGCTATAGATAGCAACCCCAAAGCTCCTTAGAGAGAAACCTCTTACCAGTCACTTTCCACAAATGGTACATACACCTAAAGGTACTTAGCGAAAATCCTTGAGAGGTATTTAATGCTAAAGCAGCTAGTCTCCTCAGTGTCTCTCTGAAGCCCACACAAACACACACAGGCAGGGAGAGGTGCAAGACAGCCCCAGGACCAGTGAGTGACTTTGCCCCAGCCGGGCTTTGCCGCCCCAAGAGTTCGCCAAGATGTGTGACATGGGGGGCCTGGACAACCTGATTGCCAACACAGCATACCTGCAGGCCAGGAAGAGCACAGAAGGGGACACCAAGGAGATGCAGAGGAGGCGCAAGAGCCTCTCACTGCCCAAGCCTGAGCAGTGCACAGAGGCCAGGCAGGCCCTCCCGGCTGAGTATGAGAGCATCTGCGAGCAGCAGCCCATTGGCAAAAGGTTCTTTAGGGATTTCTTAGAGACCATGCCTGAATACCTGGTGGCCAAGGACTTCCTGGATGAGGTGTCCAACTGGGAGCTGGCAGAGGACAATGCCAAGAGTAGCATCATGCAGAGCTTGGTCACCAACTTCCTGAAGTCCGGCTCCAAGGGCTACCTAGCCTTCATGAGCTCAGACCTGGCCAGCAAGTGCCAGGCAGCCACTGAGAAGGACTATGAGAGTATCATGCAGCTGGCCAAGGAGGAGACCAAGGCCTTCCTCTGGGAGAAACCCTTCCAGGACTTCCAGAGAACCCCCTTTTATGACAAGTTCCTGCAGTGGAAAGTCTTTGAGAGGCAGCCAGTGAATGAGAAGTACTTCTACGAGTTTCGGGTGCTGGGCAAAGGTGGCTTCGGAGAGGTAGGGCAACTGCCATCAATCCCTTCCCTGGTCTAATGGGTGGGTATGGGCAATGCAGAGAAGAGCCTACAATAGACTAGGCAGATGTCAAAGACCTTGAAAAACTAACTTCCTCCTTGGGCAAACCAGTGTGATGTAACCCCTTCTCCACTTTATTGCCCCAAAGCATCCACATGCTGGTCAGTAAAGAGAACTTCTGAAAACTCCATAGGATCCTCAAGAGCTTTGGACTAGGATAAGACAGGCTCCCCTCCGAGCAGAATAGACCAACTCCCTACTCCCATTATATCCCCATCCAGTGCTCTGTCAGGCTGATCACTAACAGTGCCCTCTGAAAGGATGGCAAGGTATATCTTGCTTCCTTAAACCCAATCCACCTCTGCTCTTAATTCACCTCCAGTCTGTATTTGTAAAGCCCCTTCCTTTCTCTTTCCATCTTGATCCTCTAGGTTTGTGCCATCCAGGTGAAAAATACTGGCAAGATGTATGCCTGCAAGAAACTGGATAAGAAGAGGCTGAAGAAGAAAGGTGGGGAGAAGATGGCTCTGCTGGAGAAGCAGATCCTGGAGAAAGTTAACTGTCCTTTCATAGTCACCCTGGCATATGCCTATGAGAGCAAGAGCCATCTGTGTCTTGTTATGAGCCTCATGAATGGAGGGGATCTTAAATACCACATCTACAATGTGGGAGAGAGGGGCTTGGAAATGAACAGGATCATCTTTTATTCGGCTCAGATCACCTGTGGGATTCTGCATCTCCACTCCATCAGAATCCTGTACAGGGACATGAAGCCAGAAAATGTTCTCCTGGATGATAATGGCAACTGCAGATTGTCTGATTTGGGCTTGGCAGTGCAAGTCAAAGAGGGGAAAACCATCACCCAGAGGGTGAGTGCGTGTTCATGGTGCAGGGAAGGGAGGAAGGGAAGCCATTCTATTTCTAATGTATTATGAGAACAAGCCTTAATTCCTCAGGATTTGTTCTTCACTAAAGATCTTATGTGGTCATTTCATTCTAAGTGACAGGTGGTAAGAGGATTTGGTTAATTAACTCTTTGGTGCTATGTGCAGTTAACACAACTTGTCTCCTAACAGAAATAAAAGAACCAAACTGATTTTTTTTTTTTTATTGGGATATGCACTTAACTCAAACTAGCCATTTGAGAGGCACTATACTTTTCATGGGCTACGTTGCCTCATCAAGGGTCTAACCAGGAGTGAATCATAAGTATAATCAGAGACAATCAAAGGTGTGATTCCTCCCCCAATCACCAACCATTATTTCAGAGGAATGGCATTTATCCCATTTCTTGTCTATTTGTTTGGGGATTTTTGTTTGTTTACTTAATAGTATTATTGATGGTTCATTGTGCTAAGTATGCATGGTGCTGCACAATAAGTGAACTGTGTCAAACACACAAGTTCTTGCCCCATAGAGTTTGCAGTCTAAAGATCTGTGAAAGCTAGGTGAGAGTTTAAATAAAAGTGTGTATATCTGTAAGAGAAGGGTAATGGTTGGCTATTTTTTGCTGCTTCAATTAGAATGTGCAGCACATTAAGCACTACCTGTGGTGATTACAAATTGATCCAGGTTTAAAGTGATAATGTCATGGTGGTTCACAAGAAAGGTGTACTGTATAATGTAGCACATTTGTCTCCTGTTGGCCAGAACACATAGACATATATAATGAGTGAATGAATGTTCCATTTATATAATATATATCTGACAAAAGGGCAGTTATGAAGTTACTTCTAGAGATGCTACATCTGGAGCCTATAATTGTTTGCATTGTACTTACACGGTACTTGGAGGATTTAAAATTTCCACATCAAACTCCAAGTGAGTTGAATGTTGATACGCATAGTCTCAGTCAAGGGGAAAGGGCCCTTTATCATTCTTCCTCCCCCCAACCTTGAAATAAACACATTTTTAATGTTTTGCTGTGAACAGATTAGATGACATTTTTATTTTGAAGACCAACTTTCTTTTTCCTGTAATTAATATTTTTAACTGTCCATTGTTGTGTTTTCAGCCCAAGAAAAAAAATACAAATCTGTTTTGTAGATAGAGGAAATCAAACATAATTAACATAAGAACATAAGAATGGCCATATTGGGTCAGACCAAAGGTCCATCTAGCCCAGTATCCTGTCTACCGACAGTGGCCAATGCCAGGTGCCCCAGAGGGAGTGAACCCAACAGGCAATGATCAAGTGATCTCCCTCCTGCCATCCATCTCCACCCTCTGACAAACAGAGGCTAGGGACACCATTCCTTACCCATCCTGGCTAATATCCATTAACGGACTTAACCTCCATGAATTTATCCAGTTCTCTTTTAATCGCTGTTATAGTCCTAGCCTTCACAACCTCCTCAGGCAAGGAGTTCCACAAGTTGACTATACACAGTGTGAAGAAGAACTTCCTTTTATTTGTTTTAAACCTGCTGTCCATTAATTTCATTTGGTGGCCCCTACTTCTTGTATTATGGGAACAAGTAAATAACTTTTCCTTATTTACTTTCTCTACATCACTCATGATTTTATATACCTCTATCATATCCCCCCTTAGTCTCCTCTTTTCCAAGCTGAAAAGTCCTAGCCTCTTTAATGTCTCCCCATATGGGACCCGTTCCAAACCCCAATCATTTTAGTTGCCCTTCTCTGAATCTTTTTTGAGATGAGGAGACCACATCTGTACGCAGTATTCAAGATGTGGGCGTACCATGGATTTACATAAGGGCAATAAGATACTCTCCGTCTTATTTTCTATCTCCTTTTTAATGATTCCTAAGATCCTGTTTGCTTTTTTGACCGCCTCTGCACACTGCATGGACATCTTCAGAGAACTATCCACGATGACTCCAAGATCTTTTTCCTGATTCATTGTAGCTAAATTAGCCCCCATCATATTGTATGTATAGTTGGGGTTATTTCTTTCAATGTGCATTACTTTACATTTATCCACATTAAATTTCATTTGCCATTTTGTTGCCCAATCACTTAGTTTTGTGAGATCTTTTTGAAGTTCTTCACAGTCTGCTTTGGTCTTAACTATCTTGAGCAGTTTAGTATCATCTGCAAACTTTGCCACCTCACTTTTTACCCCTTTCTCCAGATCATTTATGAATAAGTTGAATAGGATTGGTCCTAGGACTGACCCTTGGGGAACACCACTAGTTACCCCTCTCCATTCTGAGAATTTACCATTTATTCCTACCCTTTGTTCCCTGTCTTTTAACCAGTTCTCAATCCATGAAAGGACTTTCCCTCTTATCCCATGACAACTTAATTTACGTAAGAGCCTTTGGTGAGAGACCTTGTCAAAGGCTTTCTGGAAATCTAAGTACACTATGTCCACTGGATCCCCCTTGTCCACATGTTTGTTAACCCCTTCAAAGAACTCTAATAGATTAATAAGACACAATTTCCCTTTACAGAAACCACGTTGACTTTTGCCCAGCAATTTATGTTCTTCTATGTGTTTGACAATTTTATTCTTTACTATTGTTTCAACTAATTTGCCCGGTACTGACATTAGACTTACTGGTCTGTAATTGCTGGGATCACCTCTAGAGCCCTTTTTAAATATTGGCGTTACATTAGCTATCTTCCAGTCACTGGGTACAGAAGCCGATTTAAAGGACAGGTTACAAACCATAGTTAATAGTTATGCAACTTCATATTTGAGTTCTTTCAGAACTCTTGGGTGAATGCCATCTGATCCTGATGACTTGTTACTGTTAAGTTTATCAATTAATTCCAAAATCTCCTCTAGTGACACCTCAATCTGTGACAATTCCTCAGATTTGTCACCTACAAAAGCCGGCTCAGGTTTGGGAATCTCCCTAACATCCTCAAAGTGAAGGATGAAGACTGAATCAAAGAATCCATTTAGTTTCTCTGCAATGACTTTATCATCTTTAAGTGCTCTTTTTGTATCTCGATCGTCCAGGGGCCCCACTGGTTGTTTAGCAGGCTTCCTGCTTCTGATGTACTTAAAAAGCATTTTGTCATTACCTTTTGAGTTTTTGGCAAGCCTTTCTTCAAACTCCTCTTTGGCTTTTCTTATTACATTTTTACACTTAATTAGGCAGTGTTTATGTTCCTTTCTATTTACCTCACTAGGATTTGAGTTCCACTTTTTAAAAGATGCTTTTTTATCTCTCACTGCTTCTTTTATATGGTTGTTAAGCCACGGTGGCTCTTTTTTAGTTCTTTTACTGTGTTTTTTAATTTGGGGTATACATTTAAGTTGGGCCTCTATTATGGTGTCTTTGAAAAGCGTCCATGCAGCTTGCAGGGATTTCAGTTTAGTCACTGTACCTTTTAATTTCTGTTTAACTAACCCCCTCATTTTGCATAATTCATCGTCACTATCACTGTCCTGGTCAGGTGGTCAATAATAATTAGTTGTGTTAGAATGTTAAATATGTATC